ACAGTTTCGTTTCTCTTCTTAAGCATATCATGTTCTGTTGTTCTTGCTGCTCCTCGCCGGTCCGAGTATTTTAATTCTTATGTAAACTAAATAGGTGTAAACAAGATGGGCATTGGCTTTATGCCATCTATCGGAAGCCATAAAAGTTTTCTGTCGTTGACTGTTATCGTCTTTTACGACACCCATGGGATCCAAAGGGGTGATGGCTCATGGTTCTAATACACCGCCACCACGTGGCTCAACATTAGTTAAATAGAAATCAGCAAACATTCTTAATTTAGAAGATTACAAGATATATTTAATTTTATTTCATTCTTTGACAAACAATTTTTTTCGTTATAAGAGTTACTCCATTTATGGCACATGTCGTGTACCTATGTTTACAATTAAAACAGGGTCTTTATGCGTTAGACGGCGCATGTTAGCATTATATCTCTCGGTCGTTCGGTTTTATTTTTTCCCGTTCATTTATTTTCCAACAAATATTGCCTTACTTTCATTTCATCTGTTTATGTCAGCTTTATTGAGATGATAATATGTTACAATAAAACTATCAATTTTTTACCCCAATTGAAAATGCCGTCGCGAATCCAAACTAATTAGTGCTACATTAGCTTAATTTTTTACGTCCATTTATGTGAACATTCTGCATTTATTTTAAAAGGAAAACAAAGTCATGTATCCACGTCGAGTTATTTATTGAAGGAGGAAGCATGATATTTGCATAACTTATAACTAAACACATTGGGATGAGTTTAATATTCAGTGAATATGAGATATAAATATTTTCGTATACAAAATATTATATATATTGGATTAAAACAATCTTTAGATTTTTCGGATGCTAACAAGGAAAAATACGTTTATGTAGTATGAGAAATATATTATTATTCTTCAGCCTCAATAATTAATTGGTTTCAGTTGGAAACGGACCTAATCTTTATAATCGATTTTTTTTAAATTGCTTTGCTTGTCAGACGGACTTGCAGGGATATAATTGCAGTTCACCGTCTTACACATTTGACAAATCTGAAATTATTATAACGTTATCTTTCGTCATGAATGTTCCGAAATCTGTTTAAATGAATTCAATCACTTAGAATATTTATCACATTGTTGTACTTTTTTAATTACGCCCGAAAACAATTGACATATTTTTTTTTATATCGAAACCATTGTAGAAGGTAGGTTCATCTTTCTTTACGGATTCCTTGAGTGGCCTGAAATGCCAAAGTTGCCGAAACAACAGCGTTACTGCCTCTTTCAGGGCTACAACCGATAAAAGTGTTTTGAATATAAATGAACAAAGTGCATTTATTATTTATTTATTTAATAAAAGAAAAAAAATTGTTTTCTTATCGGTCACCACGCTCAAAAAGTGTAACTTGAATTAATATCAAAGAAAAAGAAATACTGCATAAATAAAATAAATAAATAATTATAATTGCATAAGTTGATACAAAATGCTATGCAATAGCTTTACCGCGGCAGTCCCCGAGTGCCACTCGTCTTTTTTTTATGTACACTTAATTTCTCTATAAGATAACAGAAAAGAATTTAAAGGAAATAATTCTATTTAACCCGAACTAATCACTTAGTATGTTTTTTACAACTGTCAGCATTCTGAATAATATAATTTTTGTTATAACACATTTTTATGGTTTATTTGTTAACATAATGAGTTGGACTGAGCGAGCCCAGTACAAGATATTAATACAAATTTAATGAAATATAAATAAGTTTACATTTATATTTTTATATACCGCTATAGTAACTGTAAAACAGACTGTCTTTCATAAATAGCTAACGTCTCCTATTTTAGTACGCACACACAGTTCTTAAGGGTCGCTTGGTCAGTGAGCGCACTTACGCGTAGTTGTTGCCCAAAAATCACATTTAAATTGGTATAATTGTATAAAAGTAGAAGCCTAATTTACTCGTATTTTCAAAAACTGCAGTAACGTTATATCATTATTTATATATTTGAAGTAAAATACAAAATTTGGATACTCTTTAAAAATAACGCTGTATACGTACAACACCTCATACTTATAGCTACAGATATACTCTTACCGTTAGCATGTCGGTGACGCGAACTCAGTAGCTATAGCGTTTCAGAACTTTCAGTAATTTTTTGTGGAACTAACAATTTTACACTCACATAGATACATCATAACAGTATCGCTCGGTGACAGCGACAACTCGGATACAGACTCAGATTAGTCGCTTGACTGATCTGCGTATTGTATAAGGGCGAGCGGCCTGTGATGGTAAAGAAATCATAAAGGTAAAGTTATTGTAATTTTTAAGTTAAACAAGTAGTAAAATAAAAAAAATGTATGTGATCATCGATGGATGCAGGTGGCTCAAGACCGTGCTTTGAGGCATTCCTCGGGGTTGTCCAATGTGCAGCAGTGGACTTGTGAACGGCTGTAGTGCTAATGATAACGTTGGGCTGAAAAGTTCGTATCGTTTTATAGAAAAACACATTTTTTTGGCAAAATTCGATTTTATTATTCAATATAGTTGCCATCGAGGGCGATACACCGATTATAGCGATCTTCCAACTTTTCAATACCATTTTTGTATACGATTTGTGTTTAGCCTCAAAACAGGCCTCTGTTTCGGCGATTACTTCCTCATCGGCTTTAAATTTCTTTCCAGCGAGCATTCTCTTGAGATCTGAGAACAGGAAAAAGTCGCTGGGGGTCAAATCTGGAGAATACGGTGGATGCGGAAAGCAATTCGAAGCCCAATTCATGCAATTTTGCCATCGTTTTCATCGATTTGTGACACGGCGCATTATCTTGATGAAACAACACTTTCTTGTTCTTCAAATGGGGCCGTTTTTTTCGCGATTTCGTCCTTCAAACGCTCCAATAACGCTATATAATAGTCGCTGTTGATGGTTTTTCCCTTTCCAAGATAGTCGATGAAAATTATTCCATGTGCATCCCAAAATACGGACGCCATAACCTTACCGGCCGACTGTTGAGTTTTTCCACGCTTTGTATTCGGTTCATCGCGTGCAGTCCATTCAGATGACTGCCGACTGGACTCCGGAGTGTAGTGGTGGATCCATGTTTCATCGATTGTCACATATCGACGCAAAAATTCACTTCTGTTGCGGTTGAACAGCTCCAAACATTGCTCTGAAGCATCGACACGTTCTTGTTTTGATCGATTGTGAGCTCGCGCGGCACCCACTTTGCACATAGCTTTCGCATACCCAAATATTCATGAACGATATGTCCAACACGTTCCTTTGATATCTTTAGAGTGCCAGCTATACAAATCAATCTCAATTTACGATCTTCCAAAATCATTTTGTGGATTTTTTTTATGTTTTCGTCCGTAACAGCCTCTTTTGGACGTCCACTGCGTTCATCGTCTTCGGTGCTCATATGGCCTGTACGGAATTTGGCAAACCACTTACGAATGGTTGCTTCGCCCGGCGCAGAGTCCGGATAACACTCATCAAGCCACTTTTTTGGTATCAGCAGCACTTTTTTTCATCAAAAATAGTGTTTCATTAAAACACGAAATTCCTTTTTATCCAATTTTTTTTCAAAATAACAAAAGTTGCTTCACTCAAAATGCTGTATCTCACAAACTAATAATCAGACAGCTGTCAAATTTATACACGTTTCTTTTGAAGGTTGGTACTACCTAAAAATGATATGAATTTTATTCTAGTGACGCCATCTCATAGAGACGATACGAACTTTTCAGCCCAACCAATATGATATATTGCTTTTACGATTTAATTTTTGAAAATATATGTTTAAAAAATGTTCATTCGAAGTTTTATTTAAGTTTTACTAAATTAAATATGAATTGTAATTTATGCAGAAGTAGCTATAGAATTAGCTCGAGATATTTTCAATATTTATTTAAAACAATAACTTTTGACATAATTTATATAATAATTTGATATAACATATCTAGGTAACACCCTTGACACAAATTTAAATTTCCACAAGCACATCGATTTACTTTTAGTTAGAGTTCATAATATAATATATATTTTTGAATATCTCTGTAAAATCGCTAACTTTAAATTGATAAGACAGGCCTATTAAGTTTTGTGTCGATCTATACTCACTTATGGCATTACTTACTGGGGTGGCTTCTAAAACGATATTGCTCCCACTATAACGTGCTCAGGGAGGCAGTTCTAAAGGTAGCCACTTTCCGACCTTTTATGTTTCCTACACATTAACTTTACTTGGCATGTAGTGTACTAACTGTCCATCAGTTGTTTATTCTGAACATCATATTAGAACAGTATACCGAGCTTCCATTAAATTTAAAATATAATTTCAGTTTAAATGTTTTTTTTTTTTTAAATTTTAATATAGACAGTAGAAGAATTAACTTAGTTTGTGTAAACCCTCAAACCAAACACGCATTTTTGAATAGATTTTACATATTTTTAAGACCGTTTCTCGAGGTTGGCAAAAAGTTTAAATTAACAAAAACAGAAATGACAACAAAAAAAATACTTTAAAACCCTTTCGTTTTTTTAGGGGGTAACTAAAAAAAGTTTCCTTCCTTTGCCATTAATATATATAATAATAAATCTAATTAATTAATTTATATATAATAATTTAATTTTTATTATTTAAAAAAATGTATTAAAAAAAATTTTTATAAATATTTTTAATAAAAAAAAAAATAATAGACGGCTAAGTAGCAACAAAAAAAAACCGCAAAAACGTGAGGCTGGTCCCTCGTCGGATGATAATTCTACGGCTGAGGATGCGGTGCCACAAATTGTAGAGCAACCCGCAAACGTGGATGCTGCCATGAATACCCCAGTTGTGGTTGATTCAAACGATGATGGAACTATCGTCCAGGAAATGGAATTAGAGCATATGAGGAGTACATTGTAAAAAGTGATTGTGGAACCGCGTAGTACGCCTTTCGAAAATCGACCGCGACTTCCACGCATAGCCCTAAGCAAGCGGAATCGGGCTATCGTGAGTGTTCTGAACCCAATGCTGGTGACCTATTTGAAAGCCAGCCGGGACCTTTGCGAGACGGACTCAATTCTTTTTGGTACAACTCTGGCAGAATGCCGTATTATAGGCGCCAAACTTTTCACGGCTGGACGCTCTACTGGACAAAATATCGCTATCCCAGTCTGGAGAATAAGAATTGAAGAACGTATCGCAAAGGCTAGGGCCCTCATCGGCAGACTAATATGCTTCAGGTCAGGCAATAACAGGCTAATGATTGTGCACACCCTCAGGATGGCATTTGCTGGGACGAATATTAGTTTGTCCCAGCCGCATATAATGCAAAAACTAACGGAGCGCATAGACGATCACGATGAAGAAAATGCAGAGAATCTCTGCTTGGTTCAACCAGAATCGTCTCTTTCAGAGTGATCACAAGAGGCTCTATAAATCTTTGGTGCGAATAATGGTAAATGGAACGGACCCAGCAGCAAATCAGGTCGATACTGTTGAGCATTTTGGTGCAGCCTGTGATTAAAGACCGTAAACTACAGCGAAGGCCCTTGGACGGAAGTTGTGGCGAGTCAGGGTGCGAGTATTACACCCATGGACCCCGTCATCATAACACCGGATGACGTAGCTGAGGAGATCCGTAGGGGCCCGAACTGGAAAAGTCTGGGACTCGACGGGCTGCATCACTATTGGCTAAAGTGGTTTGCGGTGTGCCACGCTGTAGTCGCCCAACAGTTTCAAGAGGCTCTCAACCAGAAGTCGATCCCTAGCCTCTTCACTACCGGGATCACTCATTTGGTTCCTAAATACCAGGTTAACACAGACCCGAGCAAATAGCGCCCCATCACATGTCTACCGACCATATACAAGACATTAAGATCTATTTTGAGCGCGGGAATCACTCGTCACCTGGACTTAAATCAGGTGATGTCGCGCGCTCAAAACAGATGTCGATGCGGTGGTCGTGGAACCAAGGAATCACCCATCATTGACGCGGTCATTGGCAAAGTGGTGAAACGCAACCGTCGGAACTTCTCCGCCGCCTAGATACACTACAGAAAGACATTCGACTCAGTTTCCCATGCATGGCTAATGAGGGTCCTTGAGCTGTACAAGATTGACTGTACAGTTAGAGACTTCCTCGAGCATTGTATGGGGCAGTGGATTACGATCTTTAGTCATCTGGTGAGCGGTGACGGCTGCGGAAAGCTGCATAAGGATAAGAAGGAGTATATGCAGTGCGATTGTCTGAGTCCAATATGGTTCTGCCTCTCTTTGAACTTTCTCAGTACTTTACTGGAGGGCTCTGGGAGCGGATTTCAACTTCGGAACGGAGGTATAAAAGTGATTCACCTTTCTTATATGGATGATCTCAAGTTATTCGCCTCCAGTCTCTCCCATCTTGTGGAATTGCTAAACATCACTTGTGAATTTAGCAATTCTATTGGAATGAAGCTGGAGACGGATAAGTGTGTGGTCCTTAATGTTGAAAGAGGAAGGGTTGCTAACTCTGAGGACATGGACTTATCTATGCCCATCAACTTAAGACCCTTTCCGAGGCTGAAACATACCGATACCTGGGTATCTCACAGAAAATCGGTATTAATGGGGCTGGTATGACACCATCAGCTTGCGACGTATTTTATGCACGCTTGACCAAATTCCTTAACAGCCTTTTGTCCGGTGTAAATAAGACAAAAGCATATAACGGTTGGGTCATGCCTATTCCCATGTATACCTTTGGCGTACTCAGGTGGACTCAGACTGAACTTAATACCCTGGATAGAAAAGTCCGCACTACCATAACGTTCCATAGGATGTATTATCCGAAATCGTCGGTAATGAGGCTGTATATAGCATGTAGATAGCAGCGTCGACGTCTGTCGAGCTTGTCGCCATCACGGTGAGTCACCTAGGCATATCATCTCCGGTTGCTTGGCACTTTTTAACTCTGAGTACTTGCACAGGCACAACTTCTACTCTCTACACCAGGAGCTCGCTCCGAAATACGGTCTCGTGGATCGGAAACTGCCTTATTATAAGTACTTACCGGATGCCGTGCTCGAAAATGACCGCGCCAGGCTCTACTAGGACTGGGCCATCATCACACACATGATTATTCTTGCGAATATGTCTGATATTGTGCTGATGGACTGGGTACACTCAAGGATATTTTGGTCAACTTTACCATTCCATATAACGAGAACCTAGTGAAAGCCGAATGAGATAAGAAAACAAAATGTCTGAACCTGGCTCTCGAGGTGACCGACATGTCATTCATTATTCCTGTAGTCGTCTTTGCGAATGGGCGAACACTTTATTCTTGCATACACTTTCAATTGAATTTTTTGTTTTGACATAACATAAAAAGTATTTCAATTGACACGAAAAACCCGATTTTTCTTTCTTTTTTTTTTGAATTTTAAGCCCGTAAACAATTCAATTATATTTAGGTCTCTCCGATAATAGAGAGCATTTCTAATAGTCATTACTCCTGGAAATAACAGACGTCTTTAGACACTTGGCTTAAATTCGAAACGATTGCAGCGCCATCCATTGGAAGTCACAGCAACTTCGAGATTCGATCTTTAGGCCAATAGTCAAGTTACTTGATCAAAAGCGGCCCCATATAGAGAAATTTATTGGTACTTCTTTATTTAAAAAATGAACAACAATAATAATCTCATTTCTATGAGGGTTTTAGGGCAGTAAAAAGTACGCTGCACTGCCCAAAGGCGCAAATAATCTGCGCGTCCTCAAAATATTCATGATGTCTCAAACATCCAGGTTTCTCGCAATGTTTCCCCTCACCATCAAGCGATTGACAAAGTAGGACTTAAAATTTAATTAACAATTTAATTGGTGCCGGCAGAGATCAAACAGCCCTAAACACGGATTAATAATGTATGCTAACATCGTATACTAGGAAATTTTAATGTGTGAATTGATTCCTCGAGCCAATAAAAACATAACATAAACACTCACGCCTGTCACCCAGAGAGGTAGGCAGAGACTAAAGACTTTCATTTAGCACGATAGAAGAGTTTGCTCAGTACTTCCTTCTCTTCTCATTTCTCATTAATTCAGTGTATAGGACGGAACAAACCAACCTAAGGGTCACCGAGGCAATAATAGCGGCTGGTGGTGTCAACGCAGCCGTGCGGGTGCATGTAGAATGTCTGAGTATTCAGGATGTGCAACGTGCCTTAAAAAAGTTGAAACCAAAAAGGTCTGCAGGACCGGATGGTATTCCACCATATATTCTCAGGGACTGCCGTTTCGTGTTAACTAAGTCGTTAATGTACATATATTCCAAATGTCTGGACAATGCTGTTTTTCCCTATAGATGGAAAACCACACGGGTCGTTCCTGTTCTATTGCTGCAAAAAAAGCGTATAGAAACTTGGGGTTCATTCTTCGCACAGTTCACGGTTTTACTAACATAAATTTAATCGTTACTCTGTATAATACACTGGTAAAAAGTAATCTGGAGTGTAACACCATAATATGGTCACCACATGAAAAAAAGTATAGCACAATGCTAGAACGTGTGCAAAATAAATTTATTAGATACCTATATATGCGCCATTATGGGGTATACCCCATGTACACATTAATGTACCCAACCTTATTTATTCTGGGTATGGTTGGCTATAACGAGTTGAGGGTAAGACGAGACCTCGCATTAGCCTTATATATTTTTAAAGTGCTTAGAGGAAAAATATATAATAGTGACATATTGGGGCGGATTGGGCTGTGTGTTCCAGACGGGTACGTATGGAAACGGCGGCGGCCGCGGCTGCTCTCCGTGCCGCGCGCCCGATCCAATTTACTGGATAAAGCACTTTTAACGCGAACGTTACGAATTCTTAATAGAATGGCTGAAGACATTGACCTATTCTATTGCTCCTTGAGTGAATTTACTAGGGTGGGATTGTTTACAATTTGTTACAGTTAATTTCTACATTTTTGTTATGCATAAAAAGAACTACACTGTCGCATTAGGTTATTTCTGTCATGATAGTTGTTAGTTTCAATAAATAAATAAATAAATAAACGATCCTGACATACCTCTCTCGCCTCTTCCACATCCATATACCTACGCATACATGCTCGTCGGCTAAGGGTACACTTAATTTGGCCCATTTTTAGTATATAGCCAATTTGGTCGACAAACTTCCACCTAGGACGTCCCTTTCCGACTCTTCCATTCACTTCTGCAACATATATTTGCTTTGTCAGTCTTTCCGCATTCATTTTTTCTACATGACCAAACCACCGAAGCATTCCTTTCTTAATCCTGGTCACCGCATCATCTTGCAAACCACACTCTTCCTTTATCACACAGTTTCTCACCCTGTCACTCAGATTCAGCCCTAACATACTCCTTAGCGACCTTATTTCTACTGCATTTATTCTACTCTCGTGCTTCTTTTGCCACACCCAACTTTCACTACCACACGCTAATATTATAACTAAAATTAATTTATTAAAATTACTTCTAATGATTTTATTGCGTTTGATTTAACTTGTTTTTCCTCAGTTTTTAATTTTGTGTTTCTCCCCCGTGCCTCGGAAAGTACTTAAAGCCGTTGTTCATGCGCATTGCGCATGGTATCCATCCGGGCGTGTCGGGCTATCGTCTCAGCGTACTATGTGAGTGAGGAAATAAAGAGTGCACCTGTGCTTTTGCAGACATTGGCGCACTATGTAATCCTGTCTTGCACAGATGGCTAGTCTCCGTTGAGGAAGGCTGGCGTGACCGTAATTCGGTATGGAGGAGGACATTAGTATTGGCGTAAATGAAAGAAATTATTTAATTTACTAGTTTAGTATTATAATCTAATAAGTATAATTTATTACAGGGAAACGAAAGCAACCCAGTTAGTTCTCTTCGAATCTTATATGACAGCAGTTAATAGGGATCGTAATTAAAAACCAGTAAATCATCATCATCATCATCATGACAGCCCTTCACAAGTCCACTGCTGAACATAGGCCTCCCCCCAAGTAATGCCACAAAGCACGGTCCTGAGCCACCTGCATCCATCGACTTCCTGCATATCTTACCAGGTCGTCACTCCATCTAGTGGGGGGTCGCCCTACACTACGCCTACCGGTACGAGGCTGCCACTCGAGAATCTTTCTTCCCCATCGGTTATCGGTTCTTCGAGCTATATGGCCGGCCCATTGCCACTTCAGCTTACTAATCCGTTGGGCTATGTCGGTCAATCTGGTTTTACTGCGGATATCCTCATTTCTGAGTCTATCACGCAGAGAAACTCCGAGCATAGCCCTCTCCATAGCTCGCTGAGCGACCTTGAGCGTCCTCATACGACCAGCAGTGAAGGACCACGTCTCTGATCCGTAAGTCATCACTGGCAACACGCACTGGTTGTACACTCTAGTTTTCAGAGATT